ACATTATTTTCTTCCATGAAAATCAGGAGGGCGTCTAGAGGTCCGGAAAATTCACCAAGTCCGAAAATAGTGTTTCGCCTGGGCATGGGACCCGCATGTCATGGAAGATCCGATTTTCCGAGATCCCCTCGCCTCGCGGTTAGTTGCACGAGCGTCTCAACGATGACCGTTCCTCGTTTCTCGGACGAAGGCACGTAACTCCATTCCAACGTTGCAAAATTGACCCGAACAAACTAATTCTTTGCAAGAAAGTACCTGCGCAATTTCTGTCCAAAAATTTGTCTGATTTTTGCGTGGTATCAGAAAAAGAAGGAGTCAAATTTTCAGTTGAAAATGCCCAAGATTTTCCCCGTGTAAAAGCAATTTTTAAGGGGAAATTTGGCAACTTTGCAATGAAGTTACGTCGTTTCGTGGGGAAAAGGACGCGACGCGTTGTCCAATGTCCACGGCGGATAATGCCCCGATGGTGGTCATTAAGACGAGACCAACGCAACCTCAACGACGGAGCAAGTGACATGAAGATTGCCTGGTGACTTTCACGTTAAGGGCCCTGCTCCCGGGACCGGCCTTGGGCTTGGGCCTCGCGTTATGCCTCGTGCGTTATGCGTTATGCTATAACGCCAAATGAGGCCGCCGATTTTCGCCGCCTTCTCCAATTGTAGCAGAGTCTTTTCGCAGCGCTAATTCTTTGGCATCCTTGATGCGTCACTCCCCATCGTTCATCGAATAGAGACGGCATGGGTAGAATCAAGCCAAACATACGTGTCCCAGCCAAATAGTCAAATATTCTTACGTCCATTCAACTTCTGATTTTTTCCCTAATTCTAGACTCAATAATTCCTTGCTACTGTAAAAAAGAATTCTCTCTAATAATGTGGATCATACAATAGTGTTTGAAACGATTTTAAGCCCCTGAACCAACATTTATCGCAAAATTTTCAGCATGTCATAAAATTTTAACATTTATGAGAAGAATCCGAAAAAGAAAGAATGAGGAGAGTTCATCGATTTGATAAGTTATTTTCCCCCGAAATATTGAAAACTCTTGAGCTCCTCGCCATAAATTTACAAGATTTCGTAAACTGTCTAAATTTGACTATTTGCCGAGGCATTTGACCAAGCGCCTGATTTGACTATTCGCCTGTGACAGCAACGGAAGTAACTAGTCCTGGTGGCGGCGTAGCCTGCTTTGCGATATATCGATCCGCTTTGCGATATATTGATCTACCCTCTTTAAACCCATGAAAAAGGATCGACAAACAGTGTGAAAACCGATAATCGATTCTTTAGGATAGCTTCAAATATGGGAACAACGATAATGGATCACTGACTAGTACTGCCTGATTACGAGCAAAACCCGGGGTATTTCACACGATTTGCCGAGGAAAAAGTGACGCTTTACGCTTTGTACGTGGCAACGTAAGTGAGCGTCGGAGGGCAAAGCTGCCCTAATTGCTAAGACAGAACGACGTATGCACATTGAAGCGTTCCCAAATTTTCCCTGAAAAAAACACAAAATCTCGGAAAATCTTTTTAACTCTTTTCCAGCAATTTTTCTGCGAATTTCAGTGGCAAATCGATCCTTGGTCTCCGAAAATTTCAATACTCACAACTTTCCTCGGAAAACGTATAGTTTATGAGGGGGAGTTTGACAAGTTTCGGATGCCGATACGGCGTTCTTCCTGAGAAGGATACTGCCGTGCTAAGGAAGAACGCCGTATGAACATTCGATAGTTGCCAAATTTCCTTAGATAAAGTGTTTATTTTTGCGGAAAATTATGAATATTTTTCCTTGCAATTTTCAGACACTTTATATCAAATTACAAACAAAATTATCTGAGAAATTAGAGGAAAAGTATTCAACAATTTTCCTGAAAATTAGTGATTTGCCAGAGGAAATTTGGCAACGCCTGAAGGCTCATACGGCGTTTTTCCTTAGCACGACAGGATAGAGAGGGCTGGCGGCCTGGGCACTCACCTGTGGGCATGAATGTGAGTCAAGATCAGTGCCCAAGGTCCGGTGGTGCACTCCTTCGCGCCATCGATGCCACATCGTAGCCCTAAATCAGTTTTTTATAGTGTAAAGTGAGTGAATATGTTGACAAATCTGACAACCTACCCTCTTAGCCGGAAGGTCACCAACCCGGCGCAGACGGAACCATAGTTTTAACTCGGATATCCATCTATCGATCGGAACGCTCATTTCATCGATTCAATCGCCGCTGAAGATCATTATCATTGTGCATGAGCAAGCGTTTGAAAAAGAACCTGCGTCTTTTGAAAGGAGAGTTCTTCTCAGAGTTGATTAGATTCACCCCCAAACTTTCTTCCAATCCATGAAAAAAGCCACCGAAATCGACCGCGAAGGGTGTCTACAGGTCCTAGAACTCCCAAAACAGTCCTTAATTTTTTTAGATCCGTCCCGAAATCACGAATAAGTCCGTAAATTTTCCTCGAGACCCCGAAAAATTTGAACGTTTTTGCGCCTCATCACTAATCAGGGTTGCCGCAGTTAGGAAAAACCGGTAAATGTCAGTGAAAATGTGTTAAGTCACCTTCATTTGCTTTCTAGAATGGGTTTGAGATTTTGGACAAGAAAATTTTTCTGAAAACTATTTTCAATTATGCCTTCTTAACCATCCGTCACACCTTCAATTGTCAGGGAATTTCACCGAAATGTGTCAGGGAAATCAGGGAAATGTCAGGGAATTTCATTTTCTAAATTCTATGGCAACCCTGTTTAAACATGTTTGGGCCTCATCACTAATGGATGAAACCAGCGCATCGAGATCGAGTGCAACGTTTTCCTAGGAAGGAACTCGAACTTTAAAAAGCTAAGATTTTCCTTTATTTCTAGGTGATACCACTTACCTACTCCGGAGTTGGAATAGTTGCGCCTTTGTTTTCCTCATTTAACAATGCGAGCGTAACACCTACATTCGTCAGTAATTTGAGACCACAGAGTAGGCTAGATCTCACTTCATTTTTGCGTGATACCACATGAATACTTCGGAGTTTGAATGGTTGCGCGCATGGTGCTCGCTTTGACCAGTCTTGATTCATGAAACATTTTTATGCTACTATACTGCCGTGCTAAGGAAGAACGCCGTATGAACCTTAAAGCGTTGCCAAATTTCCTTTGATAAATCAAGAATTGGCGGGAAAATTTGTAAATATCTTTCTTCCAATTTGTCGGATAATTTTGTTTGAAATCTTACCTAAAGTTCTTGAAAATGTATCGGAACAATATTCGTAACTTTCCTTAAAAATAAACATTTTATCGAAGGAAGTTTGGCAACTCTCGAATGTTTTTACGCCGTTTTTCCCTAGCACGGCAGTGTAGGAACATTAAAAAATGACGCGCTTTTTCCAGCGGTTACGTAAGAACACAAGAAATTTCGCTATTTTCGTCTGAGTGTCGCCAGAAGTACGCTATCTTTTGAATAAGTAAAAAATTACGATGTATAGTTTTTCACCTCCATATGAGGGAAAACACGCGGTTTTCCTAGCAACTTTGTGAAAACAAAATATTAGACACTGATTTACATAGTAATAATGTGAAATTACTAATCTATAAAGTAAGAAAAATAAAAAATGAAAGAGAAAGGCAAAAAAATGCCAGCAGTCCTACTAACCTTTTTGAAAGAGAGTAAATATTATTAAATGAATAAATGAAGAAAGAAGTTGCTGTTGTTTTGTCATGCCCACTCCGGTGTTCGAATAGTCGCGCGCTTGATTTCCTCACATTACGATGCGAGCACTGTACCCCGTACCCTACCCGCATTCATGAACGTCAGTAATTTCAATTTGAGGCAGGTGAAAAGTGTAGATTTTCCTTCATTTTCGCGTGATACCGCATCACATACCTACGCCGGATCCAATAGCCCTGGTAAAAATTGGCGGTAGGAGCTGCGTTTCAGAATACCATAGGAGCTCTTATAGCCGACTGAAGAAGGCCATAGAAAATCATGTAGCTGGCTGTAGAAAGTGGAAAAAATCATACGGCCGGGTTACACGAAGCGATAAAAAATTACACAGCCGGGCTATAGTTCCTATCGCCGGGCTTTACACTTTATCGCCTGGCTGTTGCTTTTTCGCCATCGGCTATAAAAGGCTATGAGAAATTGTGTAGAAATTCGTGTGCTTTGTAAATCCTCAAGTTTGTACGGAATCACCATAATATTTGCAAAACACACATTATATTTTCCTTTACTACTTATTTTTTTTTCATCAATTAAAATGAGAATAAGCTATACAGAGTGTGCAAACATTTCAAAGTCATGAGTTGAAAAACGCTGACTCCACGAGATTAAATATTAGAACCTAACACAAAGCGGAGCGGCGGCACACTGGCGCCTACAAACCTAACAGGGATACTGCACGCATTGCGCAATGCGTAAAGTATCCCTGTTAGGTTTGAAGGCGCCGATGCGCGTTTCGCGCTGGCTGCCCGCCCGCCGCGCGGCGCCGCAGCGTACCACGGCGCTTGAAGCAACTATTTCACACCAGAGGTATTGCACAGTGTCATACGAAATGGCAGGCATCCTTCAAAAGTACGGAGCTTTTCTCGCAAAATAAATCAAGATACTACTGCCCAAAAAGAGAGCGGTAGTCCAAAAACTCACTAAGTCCTAGCATCCGTAATTAGTAACATTTAGCATACACTTTATCGCTAGGCTGTTGCTTAGTCGCCATCGGCTATAAAAGGCTATAAGAAATTGTGTTGCCGGCTATAGAAGCTATTGGAAATCTTACAGCCGGCTGTAGGTCTATGGTATTTTGGAACACAGATTCTATTGCCAATTTTTACCAGGGAGTTGTGCGCTTAATTTCCGCTTTTTACGATGCAAACATTGATAAGTACCTTCATTGTGTTAGTTGATAACAGCATACGCACAGCATTATGTTTCTTTGGTACAGCAGCATCAAATATTCATTCAAATTTACCTCCATTTGTTCATTCAGAAAATTAACTATTGCCATTTTTTGTTTTCTTACAGTTACCCCAAACATGGAGGTCGCGGAGTTCCAAGACTTTGCAAAGGCGATGATCGATTATATTAGCAAATACATGTCAACAATTCGAGACAGGTAAAAAAAAGAATTGCATTATTACTTCTATTCACGATAAATCATTTTCTCTCTCTGTCGCTAACTGCAAAAAGAGGCTCGTGTATTTTCGTCAAATCTCGTTCAATGCAAAGAAGTTTTTTTGAAGTGACCAAGCATACTGTCTCGTAAATGGAATCTTGAACACATTAATTTTAACCTGTTCAAAAGCACAGGCCAAGCCTCTTGATTTTTTAAAATAGTGCACCAAAGTGAAAGGAAACTCTGAAGACTTCTGAAAGCAGCTGCAGGCTTTCTTCGCAAAACCATTTTAATCTTGAAAATCATCTGTTTCATTCGCCAAGGCACAGATCTGCTTTCCTGAAAAAAATTTTAAGTAGCTTTCCCTCACAGCTTCCATAATTTGTCCCCAAAAAAGTGAGGAAAGACGGCCTCACACGTAGTCTTTTACAATAACTTCTTAATTTGCACTAATCTCATATTAAACAGAAATAAGATCAATGAATTTTTGTTTTCTCTGTCTTGTCTGACAGAGGAACGGAATTTCATTTCAACGTCGTCAATTTCCTTTCATAATTTTTTTGGGGGGAGGGGGGGGGTAGTAACTTTAGGTCATTTTTAAAAAATATTTCAGATTTTTCCCTGAATATCTGATTGTTAAAGATCAGCAATATTTTGGACAGAAATGGCGCTGTCATTTCCACATGAAGAAAAGGAATTGTGTAAGTAAATTTTGCAACCTTGGAATGTAAACACGTTTTTAATTGGGGGAATGACAATTTCTAGGCAAAAGAAAAACTGTTATTATTAGAGAATGTACCTGTATGTCTATCCAGAAACGACACAGCAAGTATGACTTACCCAAATTGAAACGCTCGCTCCAAAAATTCATTATTTGATCCTAAGTATTAATTGAAATGAGTATTTTTCAGGCCTGTTCTACCTAAATTAGAGCCAGGATACTTGAGACCTTTGATCCCGGAGTCTGCACCAGAGGAACCAGAATCATGGCATAATGTCATGGAAGATATTGAAAGAGTTATTATGCCAGGAGTAAGTTCATTTTTCAATAAGTTTCAAAAAGGCAACAGCAGGCTCACAGGCTCATTATTGAAATTCATAGATAAATCCATAGACGAAAAAGATAAAAGGGTTCTAAGAAAGAAAACTAAAAAAAATTGAAACATTATTGAAATGTCCACCAACATAGGGTCCAGTCGTAAATGACACTTGTGATACTTCGGCCGAAAAATGATGTACATAATGGTCCATCAGCCCATTATCAATGGAAATTTTATTTTTATTGAAATGAGGTTTCAAGAACTTTGATGTGCTGTTCATTTAACAGCGTCCGTCATGAACTATAACAGCTCTTCTAACTATAATTTTTCATCTTATTACAAGGAAGTTTCTTTTTTTTAATTAATTTTTTCTTTTTAAATCAAAGATCAGATTTAAGGGGAAAATAGAGTCTTAAAATTATCTACTGTAGTTGCTGTAACAGATAATTATCGTTCTCTTAACTATTTTAAACTATGATATTTTTCAAAGCGAACTTCTTCAATTTTTTTATCGTGTTTTTTTTTTTTTTTTTTTTTGACATTTTTAGGTAACTCACTGGCATTCACCCCGCTTCCATGCATACTTCCCGACAGCCTGCTCTTACCCTGCCATAGTTGCTGACATGTTAAGTGACGCCATTGCTTGCATTGGATTTACCTGGGTGAGTTTTCGTCTACTTTAGCAAGTTCTTCCAATCAGTTCCCGCAGAACAGTAGCTGCAGTTTGCTTTCATCAAGGAGATGTTCCTCCAGATTTTGGAAAGGTGGAAGATAGTCATTTAGCTTTTAAACGACTCTTTTAAACTTGGAATAATTTCAGAATCTTTTCTAGAGCATAGTAAACGGTCTAATTTACACCCAAAAAACATATTTTCAATGTTAGGTTTACCTATCTGTGGTTCCATTATGAGTATTGAATAGCTACTATCATTCTGATAGGGAAAAAGTGAAAATAAAAATATAAACTTCAGGTTAACAAGAAATACTGGACACTTTAGTGAAAAATATTGTAAAAAACTCATGAAAAAAGTAGGAAAATGGACCAAGAAGGAAACGTTATGTAGTTTTTTTTATTAGAAAATTGGATAAGAAATCCAGTTTATTCATTCTATTTTTTTTAACCTCTTTATTATTCACATTTTTTTGGTTTAAAATTTATTAATTTTACAAGGTTTGCTGTAACAAAAGGCGCTCTTGTATTGAAAGCAAAACCTTCCTATATTCTTATTTTTCCCTTGCTCATAATTCAACTGTTTTTATCGCAAGCAAAGATTATGTCTCTCCTATTCTAAATCGACTGTAAAAATAATTTTTTTTATAGCTATTGCAGAGAACGATTTTCAGAGAAATTTAAGATTCAGGCTGAATTAATAGCTTCTGTTTGGGTCTGAAGTTGATCGTATTGTTAATCTTCTTTTATTTTCTTTTTGTTTCCTCTGTAGATCGCAAGTCCAGCTTGCACAGAACTCGAGGTTGTGATGATGGACTGGCTCGGTAAGATGCTTAATCTCCCCGATGACTTTTTGGCCAGTGGAAAGAAAGGAGGTGGTGGTGTTATTCAGGTAAAAAAAGTCTTAAAATCATAGCTTTTCTTCTTCGATTGCATAAAACTTGATATCATCATTAATCTCTCCAGATTACTGGCAAATATGAGAAAATTCTAAAACCATATGAATACTTTAAAAGAGAGGGAAGGAGAAGAAGAAAACCTAGCTTTATTTTTAGAAAGAATCCACGATAAACAAAGAAGTTTAAAAATTGCTGTAATTCGAAATATGTGTTCTCTTACTTTTATTGCGATGTATGAATTAATTTCTGCCACTTAACTATACAAAACGGTTTTGGTCATTGTCAAAAAAGTTCTGTTTTGAGTTGTTAACATACTGTGCAGCTTTGATACTTTGGTATCTAATTGGTTGTCACAAGACACTTTGTCCTCTTTTGCACTTAAAAATGAATCTTGTCTATGCTGTTTCAGTATTTCTACGGACATTTCATTTCAAAAAATAAATTGTACATATATTTATATTTCACATTCTTGAACTGTCTCAAGTATTTGTCTGAACATTTCAATAACTTTTCTCACAAGTGTAAAGAAAAATAGCCACAAATTTCAGGCAAATATATATATAACGGTTATAGTTTGGCTGGACTGGTTATTATATAAAAAAACAAATAAAACACTACCTAGTAACTTCAACTGAATCAGCGCAATTAAGGTACGTTCCTTCGAGTGAGTAGCAAAGACTTTTGTGAAAAAAAAAGTACGAAGTATTCTGACCCTTTACCTCTGTTATTCTTTTTTAGAATTTTCAGGAATAAATATACTTCAATTTTAGCAAGAAATCGTTTGATGCAAATTCATTTTTACGTATATTTATGTTTCACATTCTTGACTCTGTATCGGTACATAACTTTTGTATCATGCTGACATTTTGTAAGGTTTTCTGAGGTCAAAAACCAAACAATGAACATATTCTATTAATTTCCTTCATTTTTATTTTTTTATTGGTCCAATAGGGCACTGCTAGTGAGGCAACTCTCGTTGCCCTTCTGGGTGCCAAAACCAGAGCAATCCGCCGAACAAAAGAACAGCATCCTGATTGGACGGATCTTGAAATCGCCTCCAAATTGGTAGCGTACTGCTCCAGTAAGTTTTTCCATACATCTATTAAATCCTTCATAATTTTTGAAAATTACTTCTGATGTTTTGTATAATTTTCTCTTAATTTCAAATAAAATATTTCTTAAAAAAAATTTTAAAAAAACCCTGCTTGCCCATTAAATTGTTTAGTATCTAAATTATCCAGAATTTTAAAGTTGACGCCTTTGGCACAGTTTATATTTTTGAAGTTCCTGGCAACTCTTCACCAAGTGATGATTGGATGAGATGCAGTTTAAGCAGCATGCTAATGAGAAGTGAGTTTGTCAGATTATTTTCTGTGCAGTAAGCAATGATGTCGCTTAGTACCTGCTGAAGAAGAAAGCTATTGAAGTTGAAAAAAGAACCCAAACTGCACTTATAGTACAGTACTGAGTATTTCGTTTTATTGAGCAAAATCGGAAACAGTTATCAAATTCTGGATCCTATTTATTTTGAGGTCTTTGAAGTTAAAATTAAATCGGTGCTTTTTCTCTTAAACACAAGTGAACACCCAGACAAGGCGCATATTTAAGCATTCAAAGTATTTTTCATGTCAAAATTTCAAATAGAACACAAACACGACAGTAGCTTGACAAAAATTGCTGCCATAAATTCCGAACCAAGCTATCAACGTTTTTATTAAGCATCCGTTAAAAAAGAAAAATTTAAATTTCTGGATCACAAGAAAAATTAGAGTTGAGATCAAATCGTGCACTACAACATTTTTGGTAGGCTTCTTAATTGAGTAGTGTTCCCTATCCGCCCTGTGTTGCAAGAAGTAAAAACAACTTGCAACAGCTGATCTGAAGTGCTGAGGTTGAGGTTGCCACATTTTCATACCGCAGAGACTGTTATAGTAACATCTAGTGTGTATTTTAATCTGAGTAGATTATGGGTTTTTTAATGAGCGGGAAGTCTTGGAGCGAATTCCGCCTTTTGCAGAGTTCTTTAAAGTGCAAATGTAAAGCAAAAATAATCATTTGACTGTTTACTGAAAGTGTTCCTAATATGAAGTTTCCTTTTGCACAGAACAAGCCCACTCCTCGGTGGAACGAGCAGGTCTTTTGGGAAGCGTCCCGTTCAGACTCCTACCTACAGACGATATGTACAGATTACAAGGCAGCACTTTAGAAGAAGCTATCAAAAAAGACAAAGCTGACGGTCTCGTTCCTTTCTATGTAAGAATTTTTCCTTCGCATATCGTGTTAAAATCTTTGTCAGAAATTTGAAGCACAATCCTTGCAGTTTTATATAAACTACAGTACGCTGTTTATTTAAATTAAGCTCATTTGAAGCTGCTAAAAAAATTATTTTAACAAGGTTTTAGTCGCACTGTTAATAGTGAAACATTTAACCTTAATCAGTCACTCATTTTAGAAGGAGTTTTTCCAAGGAAAAAAAGTCTTTGTACCTCTGTCAGCCTCTCAGACTCAATATTGAGCGTTTGCTCTCATCAATTAAAACATATTGACCTTGAAACTGCAAAAATCGATTTACAGCGTTGAAGACTTCCTGTCTTATTTTATATGTATTCCAATAGGAAAATCACTCAACATTGTTTCTTGAAAACTTCAGAGATTTTTCTTCTCTGTGTGAATTATATTCTGTTAAAATTTTAAGCCATGATGTTAGTCTCGTCTCCTCTTAAAAATTAAAATAGTAAGAGAGATTCTTGAATACCACAATCAATATTGGCGTTTTTGCATTCTTACTATCGATATGGCTGAAATCACAGAATTTGCCTCGTTACTGTAAATTGTTGTGAAGTTAGATTTTTTTCACTCTCATCTGACCAAAAGCACTAAATTATTTGAGGATTACCATATTATTTAATTATTCAAAATCAGTTAAGGTTTGTTTTTAAATCGTCAGCTAATTTCATCTGATCTAAGTAATCTTCTCTGTAATTATAACTTGGTACGATAAATTTTTTTCAATTCTTCCATCATGGAAAAGAAATGCTTTATTAAAGAAAATAGTGTATGCGTACTCAAAATTTTTCCTTTACCACACAATACATTTGTCGGTGTGAAATGGATTCCGTTAATTTAATTCCTCTCACCCCTAGGTTGTTGCAACTCTAGGAACGACCTCCTGCTGTTCATTTGATCTGCTCAAAGAAATTGGACCAGTGTGTAAAAACGAAGAAGTTTGGCTTCATGTTGATGCTGCGTATGCAGGCAAGTATTATTTTGGTTTATAACCTCACTTCAAGTTTCAATTTTTTCAAAATACATTTAAGGGAACAGAAATTTTCCTGGTTAACTTCACAACTCCGGTGGCTTAGTTCACATGGAAACAAAAAATTCACATCTCATGAGTATCATTTAAAAACTCTTTGCCAAGTTGGAGGACTCCCATTAAATTTTACTCTTTTAAAAGATACCTTATCAACATTTCTCCCTCTAATTTGCGTTTATATCAGAAAATTTTTTGTAAAAATTTCAGGCTGCTATGAAATTCTCTTTTTCTCTGGAAAAATATTGTAGACAAGTAAATTTTGAAACACAGTAATTAAGATGCGTATGTTCAAAATTTCTCAAGCAAACTTCATAATTTTACATCTGGCATACTGCCCACTCGTCGTTTTACTTTAAAATTTTATTTCTCTGCCTTCGATTGCATTTTAATTTCTTGACTCGATTGCAGGATCTGCCTTCATTTGTCCCGAGTATCAGTATTTGTTAGAAGGGGTAGAGTACGCTGAGTCATTCAATTTTAATCCTCATAAGTGGATGCTCGTAAACTTTGACTGCTCAGCCATGTGGTAAGTTTTAACAGAAATCTCGTCTTTTGTATTTAATTCTCCAAGCGCATGTTTATTTTATATGCTGAAAACTTTTTATTAATTTATTTATTCTTTTATTTATTTATTCATTCATTCATTCATTCACTCAAATTCCCATCTCGGAGCAAATAATAAATTTCAAGAAAAAGTACAATTGTTAATCGGGAGAAAGAACATTTTTATTTCACCAAATGCCTTATCTTAAAAATGCCTCTAAATTCACCACGAAGTTAACGTATTTGCAAAGAAAATGTTCACACCAACAAAGGTGAACAATGTTTTTAATTTTTACAATTGAGGCATTTTTTCGGTAAAAGGGCGTATTCGAAAAATTACAGTTTTGAGAAAAACACATTTGAAAGTTCAAAAGGTATATCTCCGACACCTGTGAATATTTTTTAAAAAATTAAAAACGGGACCACGGGTATTTATTTTGAATTATACCAGCCAAAATTTCAAGTATCTAGCATGTCAACTTGCTGAGATATTGCGAATGCAAGATTAATATAAATTCGCCCTTTTACCGAAAAACTCTTTCCGCCAATTCTATTTCAGTTTACCTCTGTTCTTGTATTGATTCATCAAAATATAATGAAAAATATATCAGATTTTTCTCAATAAAATAGGAAGAGGAACAAAATCCTGTAATAAAATGAATCAAAAACTTTGGCCTAAAGCTGTAAGAATTCAAATCATCAGAAATCATTGAAGAGTAATAAAGATGGCCGACCAGTCTTTTAAGAAAGATATGTCCTAAGTCGTCCAGAAAACGTCCGGTTTTTTGCGGCATTCGGCAATAATCCGCGGCGGTTTTGATAATCGGTATATTTTTCATAACGCAGCCGTGTACACAAAAATTGCGATCGCTTACACTGTAGCTGTATCCGCAAACTGGGAGAACGTTTTCCAACTCCATGTTGTTAACATTCACGAACAAGTCGCAGAATGACAACATTGCTAAATTTCGATTTTGACCCGTAGTAGTGTCTAAAAAAAATAATACCCTTTTGAGTTTGTCAGTATTTATAACTTCACCAAGACATTTAAACTAGACTGAAATCACTGATTAGGCATTTTTTTCAAAGGAAAATGCAAGTAATAAAAACGGGAACTCGGCGCGGCTCGTGCAGCAAGATGGAGAATACTCGCCGCATCTCGGCTAATTGCCGAGGCTCCTGGCTGATGCATATAATTTTAGCCAAGTCACCCTCATTCCGACGGCTCCATCTTCAATTTTTCACTTCCCTCTGTTTACAAACTATGTATTTTTGGATGGGTAACATCTGTAGGATTCAGATAATCTTCCGTAAAAGGGCGTAAGACCGAATATGCCATTTTACCAAAAAATGCCTCAATTTCTCTTAATTAATGGAAAGAATGCTTTCTGTAAGGTTCTCCTGGAGCTTCTTAGTTCTGCTCCAACTGATACTCTTGAAATACTGTATGTTGCCTTTTTGCCTTATTTTTACCGTGTTTGTTAGTACTCACCACACTATTTTCAATATATTTATCAAGAGACTTGAATTAAGATTATGTACATTTTTGAGAGAACTTCAGTGAAAGTAAGAATCTCTGCTCAATTGCGTGTATTTTATCGCGTCTGTTGGTGAACTTACTTTCCGTCAACGAAAGTAATAAATTGCACAAAAGGGAGAGGAATGATGTTTTTACTTTCACTCTATCAAAGCAGGGAATTCTCTTGACTTGTGGAAAAGTGAATAATGACAAAAATATTTACCTATCAAAATTATTTTTAAATTTTTCTAGGTTAAAAAATCCAGATGAAGTTGTAAATGCATTCAATGTTGATCCTCTTTACCTGAAGCACGACCACCAAGGAGCTGCTCCTGATTATAGGGTAAGGAAAAATTTTATTCATCTTTCTTGTTACAACGTTATCAAATGGGCATTGAAAGTGGAACATTATTCCGCCACCACACCAAATGCCATAACGACAAATGACTGGCCAAGACTCGAAAAAATGAACGGGAAAATGTCATAACGAGATACTATTCTATTAGCATATACAAGTCAACTTTTAATTTTCCTCTTCTGTATGAAGCATCTGAGTCCAACATTTCATACCTGCCTCTGTTTCTAGAAGTATACTTTTAACCTTGATGTCCATCTTTAAAAAAGGAACTTGTTTGAATGGTTGCTCCAAAATCATAAATCAATTTGGAAAACATCATCAGTAAGCGAGTCTTTATCTCAGGTATTTCTTCATGGCTGATTTATTATCAACCGATTATTCATGATGATGTAACTGGAAAGTTCTTTATGCTGACCAGAAGCTTTGCCGACTTGTGTTAATGAAGATCAACTCATTTTATCCTCTTTGGCTTCAGTTCAATACGCACAAGAAGAACTTTAATCCAAGAAAGCTAGAAATTTACTTCTTGGTAGAAGAGCACGAAAAAGACTGCTGTGTACATTCTAAGAGGCAAAAAATGCCTAAAAATAATAATTAAACTGTGGTTACTGCAATTTCAAGTTCACATTTCGGAAACCGTAGTTTTTTCAAGTTTTGATTTTAGCTGTTCAATATAAGAAATCACTGAATTATAATGCAACTTCATCCTCTTTTGGCATAGAAATCATTTAAATCGCTCAAAATACACCAGAGAGGATTTTTTGTCGGTCTCAAATCAAATATTTCAAGCCTACTCCACTAAAATTGCTACACGGAATTTTGCCTCCGAATTTTCCTCTCTCTGTAGATGGTATCATTTGGAATTTTTAGTCTGTTCGAGGTTCAATAAAATAGCCTCATATAATTCCATCAGTACTCAATCAATTAACTGAGACTCATATTTTATATTTCAGCACTGGCAAATTCCACTCGGCAGGCGATTCCGTTCATTGAAATTGTGGTTTGTTCTGCGATTGTATGGAATAAAGAACCTTCAAACCCACATTCGTCATCAAATTGGACTCGCCCATCAGTTTGAAGCGTACGTCAATGAAGATGAGGAGTTTGAATTATTCAACGAAGTACTCATGGGTCTTGTCTGCTTCAGAGTTAAGGTGAGCTTAATCAGGATTAAATTTGGAACAATATGTTTTATAATTGAAAAATTTACACACTTTGCAAAGAGATACTTTAGACAATTTCTCTATCAGCATTTTGCTTTCAGTGCCTTTTTATGTAATATGGCCTATCTTTTAGCGAAAATTTGGTGGTTTTTATCACCACTAAAGTGTTGCTAAAACAATTTTTGAAAATAAGGTCCCTTTTTCTGCAGGCGGGTCATTTATGAATTCTCTGTCAATGGCCAAAGTGCAAAAGCACGTATCTTAATCGCAGGGTTCCAAAATTTCCACTATTTTAGCTTTTCAAAGAAAAGCATACAAACTTTAAAGCTTGAAATTTATGCCGAAAATTGTGCTAACAGAGAGGAAATTGCAAGGATGTTTTCAAGCATTTACATCAACAAAAATAACCAGGAACCAAAAAAAAATGAAGTATGAAAAGATGTCTGCAAAGTTGCAAACGGATGCCCATGGTTTAGCGTTTTGGTCATGTATATAGAGGCCATTTTTACAAAAGTAAAATTCCGTTTTTGCCCTTCATTTCAATGGTATAACAAAACTTTTGACAGGGCAAGAAATACAGTACTGTAAGCTGCGTTTTCTCATTGTATTTTTATTGACTCATTTTGGATAAGTAAACATGTCGTTGTTCTTTGCAGGGCTCCAATGAATTGAACGAACAAGTGCTGAACAGGATCAACAAAAAAGGCAAAATCCACATGGTTCCCTCGAAAATCAAGGATGTCTTCTTCCTCCGTTTTGCCGTCTGTTCACGTTTCACAAACGCCGAAGATGTCAAATACTCGTGGAGCGAAGTCAAAGCCACAACCCAAGAAATCAAAAAAGAGCTAGCCAAGCAGTGATTGAAAGTTCCGACAAATATTTTCGAAGTTATTCCACCTCCATGTATTATCTTTGTTAAGTTTTAGTACATTTAATCTCAAGATTCAATGGAAAAGCTCTCTATTTTTAGTAAGTTATTTTTACAGATTGACTATTTAAGCAGCACTAATGTTTTGTGCTCAAGGAGCCAAGCTCAAAGTTTTTAAGAACTCATTGAGTCTCACCCTATCTTGAATAACTAAATGAAAAAACTTAGCATGAAGATGAAATGGATTAAATTAAAATTTCTTTTAAGTGTAATTGAAGAATTGGGTTAATATATATGTTTTTATTCCTCTCACTGAGAAAAGTATCAAAGACGATTCTCTAATAGCGTAACTTCATAATTTCATTATTTAAAAATATTTTATACTTCAACCTCCGAACACCAAATTTAGGCACAGCCATGTCAACAAATCAACAACTACCGGACGGAGGAATGTATCTTAATTGCACTGTTTCAGTATGCTTGCTAATTTTTTTTTTTTCTTTCAAGGAAAACTGTTTTATGAATTTTCTTGGAAACTCTGATGATTTTTCTTTACCTTTGTGAGAAAAGACTCTGAAATTTTCAGATTGATTCGTGCGATGGTTCTTGCATGAAAATATAAAATCTTTCTAAAAATATTGAAACAGTCCAGGCAAGATATGTTCCTTTGTGCAGGAGACGACAAAATGTCTCATTTCCTAAAAATTCGTTTGAGTGTGTGAAGAATTTGATAGATATTTCATCGTAGGCACTGAATAAAAGTGTAACATGGCTGTTGACATCTTCCTTTGATCAAGTGAAATTTTATCTAAAAGTTTTGATTGTTAAGTTTGTTGTTTTCAATACATTGTTCCAGTATTAGCAGAAAATTTATTATTTTACGATTACGATTATTGTTATTTATGGATGTAATTATAGTTGTGTGTGTAAGTGTAGATTTTAACTTTTTATGACAGGAATTGAATTTTAGACCATTCGTTTTTCAAGGGCCCTCATTCGATGCCCATTTTTTTGATTCTAGACAATTTTAATCAAATCATGATCTATGAAAAACAGTTTTATGAAGCTTGCCAATGTGGTTTCTTTTTTTTCTTTTTTTAAACTTATTTCACTCCGTACTTTGTGAATGATGAGCTGTGACATTATATGCTAGTATTTCAAAGACGTAATAATTTTTTGTAAAACTAAGTGTTTCCCATTTTAGAGTCTTTTCATCCCTTGAAACACCATCTGTGACACCATTAATTCTTATTCTAACATACCTTAAAATCATCTCCAATTTAATGAAGATGTCATACATTTTGTTTTATAATATGAAAATTACTAATGTAAAATTGTCTTATCTTTTTGAATTGACTCATATGCTCAAGCTACTTTTCAAAATAAAAATTCCAATTATTCTGTCAGCCTCAAAAAAAAAAACCTCAGTCGCTGAGTAGTACATAAATATTTAAAATCCTCGATTGATTGCCTAAAATTTCTAAGCTCATTTCAAAATCTGTATGTTAAATAGAATTCTATAGTCTTTCGTATCATTTTGAATTTTCAAATTCTAAAAATTTTAGTCTCCTCACCTGTGTTGTCGGTCCTATACTAATTCCCTCCTTAAATGTTCATCATCGGTGTTTAAAGAGCCTCAGGCAAGATGTTATGTTTGAATTGAATTGTTTTTTCAACATTCTACAGTTGATATCTAGAGACAATGCATTAAAATTTTATTGTTTTGTATTAGGAACTTTGTTCAACGTTGTGCTAAAATATTTTAGAAAAGTCAAATACCACACACCCAATCCCCCCTCCCCCATTTGAATTAAATTATTACAATCTTGTTCTAGTCTGAAAAGCAGCACAGTTTGAAGGTTTCACCAATGATCGTAAACATAAAAATGCATTTAATCGAAGAATTAACTTTGAAAGGTTAGATAAGACTCCTGTAATAAAAGACACAAGACAATATAATGAACAATAATTTATTGTAAAAAGTTTAATTTATTCGACAATAAATGTAACGTTGGTTTCCAATCAATCTCTTTATTTTTTCAAGTTTTCCCAAGAGCCAAAAAAACCTCGTCAGCATTTAAAATCTTACAAGTCTTCTTTAAAATAAAATTTTTATTTGAAATGAGTGCCGACTAATTTTTTTTTTTTTTTTTTTTTTTTTTTTTTTTTTTCTTTTTTTAAACTGAACTTCAAGCTGTTCTTAGGTATATTGGTTCCACCAAATCCCTTATTTTGTGAAAAATTCAAAATGGCACCTTTTGAGATTGAATGCTCCAAATGAGATTTTAATTTTTGCTGAGAATATAAAAATGCAAAATTTGATAAAAAAAAGTCAGAGAACCAATCACTCTGAAAGGTTATCCCTAAAAAGCTTGCCACAATTAAAAAAGGAACACCATTTAGGACACGGTTTATGCGCAATATTCAAATTTGCCGCCACTTTTCCAGACTCTAGGTGTTTGAAACTTCTGTGGCCAGGTAGCGCTTTGGTCTAATTCAGGCCTAATTAATTGTTTACATTTTTTTAGGTTAGGTATAGAATGATAACATGAATGATAACAGCGTGTGGACAAAACAAGAGTTTCGTCTGACTGTGGATTTCGGATCAATAGTTCGAATTAAAAGTCCGTGAAGTTACAGATTTAGAAGTAATGTGAGCAAAGCCAAATCCTGGTGCGTTGTCGAAGTTCTTGGCTCATCCAGCGGGTGCTCATATCAATCTCAGGTAATGCGACATCATGATGCAACACCTGTAATTTCATCATTGATTGACCAAATAAATCAATCAATCTTGCAATTACTAATCCGAAAGTAAACTTGCCTTCATATTAAAACCAAATCACGATCTACTTACAGCATTTCACAATGATTTCTCAGCACTTGCTGTGCAACTTTCATTCGCCTCTCAGTCACTGATAGGTATCCTTCCAATCTAAACTCTTTTGTTCGTTTGCCTGTCAATTATTAATAAAATGATAACTGTTTCGATTATAATAAGTGCAATCCTAATCCAGAAGATGGTGCGGAAGTAAGTTGATTTTCAGCATTTAACAAGTGTTGTTATAAATTTTTTGGAAAAGATCATGATTACAGATATTGCAACCGCTTCAATACCTAACATACTCCCTGACAGATTTCATTATAATGAGAATGAATCCAGGTATTTTGATAGGGTTGTCGTATCCAAAATTTTTGAAAGATGATAGGCCAAGCCAAAATTGAGGACATTCTTACGCTACTTACATGCGGACTTCAAATTTTTTGTACTTTTTTCTCTTCTTTTCTCTTGAGCAATTTAGGTCAAAGATGTACCTTCTGCGCTACAAATTCAAAATTATAATCAAACGTATGTCTTTTTGACCCACTGTTCAAAATCAGTAATGAATCTGAAGGTAGGCTATTCTCTCTAAAGGTATGATTCTAAATGTTACCGAGAATTCTCGGAAGAGTAAAAGCAAGAGTGACTTTAGTGCTATAACGGCAAAATTGTATGGCAACAGAACAGTGTATCTAAGCCTACAAAGAGCAAAAATTGTAGAGAAAAAAAGTTCCTCGATAAATCCTTAATCCCCTGTGGCATGAATAAATTTTGAGGTGAAAATTGATTTGAAAATTTTCAGATTTTGAGGTAGATACACTCATCTAGTTTATAACTTGGATGAGAAACATAGAAGACCAACTTTTTTTTCAAAATTTTAAACTATAGGGAATGAGTTGTCCCAAATACCTTAAGGAAAAACTAATGAAATTTTGCAAAATCATGCCACAAAAGAAAGATTCAATTTTTCTAAACCCAAAAAATATATTGTTACGAATTCGTAACGCTAGGCCATAGAGGGTTAAAAACCTGGACGTTTCTGCGAGTTTTTTACTGGAACCTCCCCGGACACCCAAGACAGGGTGCCCAAAGAAGGACATGTCTGGGAAAGCAAGGATGTTTGGCAACCCTAGTTTCCGGCCACCAAGAAAATATTGTCTCTAATGATCAAATGTAGGTATTTACTATGTCTTTTGTTTGAAAGGTAGAAAAAAATTAACAGAAATTTCTATACATAGTAAGTAATTATGAGATATTTCATTTCAGTCCAACCACTAATATGAGCTTCGAAACTGATAAGTGAGTAGGTGCATTAGTAGAACTAAGTAGTTACTTCAAATACCTCATTACAGGGTAAGGCGGAATAATTAATACCCATATTAATCCATGTGCATGTAAAGTAACCCGATGTTTAATAATATAAAAACTTCAATTCAATGTTATGACACTTTCAATCGAGTACTCAACAACTACTAAGCTCTAATACTTGTTGTTCATAGTGTCTAGGATGGCTCATTTGTTTCTGACTTTCTCCAGTTTTGTTAGCTTACACTTTGAATTAGCTTCAGAAAGTTTAGCGATAAAAGCGGAAATGTATGAGCCATGCTAGACTTGACAAGTTTCTTGAATCATCACCTTTTGTGCATGTCTCACGTTTCAATTCATGTGAGTGCAAGAGCTAAAATACCTCTTACTATCCTTTGAAACTATCTAATGTTTCCCTTAGGATTTCGAAGAAAAGGAAATCAAAATCGAAATGTTAGATGAGCGTGCTACCAACCTCAAACCACCGATCCTTACCAGAATAAAGAACAGCGCTACTCTGGGCATGGTAGCAGGTGCGATAGTTGGACTCCCGACTGGTGGTGTTCTTGCCATAATGTAAGATTTAACTTCTTTCTTCTCCTTTTGTCATTGCTGCGTTGTGTTGTCTCCGTCATAAAGGAATGTAACTTGATTGCACTGTTTCAGTATATCTTTATTAGATTTTATTTGTCAAGAAGGAAAACTACCACATGAATATTTCTGAGGTTTCTAGTGATTTTTCTTTACTCAAGCGAGACATCTCTTGAACAAAAATTTATTCATAAATATATGGCCTAAGTGCAAAGCAACGTATCTCCATTGCAGTATTTCAAAATGTCCGTTCTTATTTAATTTTTTTTGAGGAGAAACAAGGCAACTTTTTAGCCTGAAATTTTTACAGAATATTCTGCCAATGGCGAAGAATGATTAAAGAAATTTTCTAGAACCAACGTTGTCTGATCCTCTAAGAAAACAGGAGAGTATGACAGGAATTCTGTAATGCCGCGTTTATCTCCAAAACTAAGTCTTCACAAAAATGGTGTATTTATATTGCCCAAGCCACCAAATCCCATGTGAAATTGGTGTATACGTCCCACTCAGGATTTTCTTAGGAAAACTCAACCGAAACGCTGAAAAATTCACCTTCCAGTTCTGCTTTTCTTGAGTTTGACAGTTAGGAAGTTTGATTTTTAAACCTCATCGTGCTTAAGAGGTTGTAAGGATCATCATATCAAGAAGTATTGAAATTTACCCTACACCGATTTTCCTGGTATTGTGTCCGTTGTCTTTTTAAAAAATGTTACATGCTGAAGTATTAAGTGGAATGAGTCTCAACTCTAATGTTCTTCTTGAAGTCCAAAAATAAAATCGAGCAAGCCCCCTGTAATGACCCATTTGTACTTTTTGACAGTCATTCAAAAGTTCAATTGCTTCCCGAGATTTTTGATGGCGATTACTTTTTAAGACAGATACCTACCAATTTTCGATAGTTTCGAAGAGGTGCCAAGATAGCACTCTGAGCCACTTCCGTCATCTTTAAGTTTTGAAGTATAAAACTTACTGAAAATTCGACCTCAAAGTGAAAAATATCCACTGCCACCAAGTCTCGCAAAAATTAATCGAGCAGGCTCCGAGATGGCATTTTCGGCCGAATCCACTATCTTGAATTTTTAAATTATGAAAATTTGAGTTGGAATTCAAGTTTTCCGTCAAAAAATGCCACCTTGTACCGAGTTTCAAGAAACGTCCTGGAGTGTATTGACGGCGGCAATCGTGATCTTCTGCCATCAAGTCGAGGCGATACTCTTGAAGGCGCTCTGAGCAACTATTCCACCTCGGAAGTATTGCACAGTATCAGACGAAATTGAAGGCGCACTAACGTAGGCAACTTGACTGGTAGCGTTCATCGTACGATATGCGACTCCTGTCCGATCAATTTGTTTAAAACTCGGTACCAGGGGGTAGTTTTTGACGGAAAACCTTAATTTCAACTCAAATTTTCATTTGATTCCTTTTTGTGAGACTTGGGCAATGGATGTTTTTCACATGAGGTTGAATTTTCATTCAAAATTTTAAAATTCAAAAGTCGGAGATGGCGGATGTGGCCGAGAGTGTCATCTTGGTGCCTTCGAAATTATCCGGCTTCGCAATAGAGGTTCCTTTTTAAGTTCAGTTTCAAATCGATGTACTCTCAGTTAACTTAAACCTCGATATCGGCTCGCTCTTCAACCGTTATGAAATGAATCTGTTTGTTTTGTTTTTTTCTTTGTTTTTTTTTTTTAAAATTATTCATGTATTTATTTTTTATTCCATTTCCAACAGGAGTCGCATATCGCACGATCCATAGGACTCCACGGATGCCAGTGAATTTACATACGTTAGTGCGCCTTCAATTCCGTCTGATACTGTGCAATACTTCCGAGGTGGAATAGTTGCTCAGAGCGCCTTTAGGAGTATCGCCTCGACCTGATGGCGGAAGATCACGATTGCCGCTGAAATTACACTCTAACGCGTGCGCAGTTACACATTTTCTCATCACCAAAAGTGAGATAAAAAAACGTCCATACCTCAATTTGCGACGTTGCAACTTTTTCACTGCCTATTTTGAATGAGTAAACGAATATGAACACTTTAAAATCTGCCGTGATTTTTCCGAGATGTGACAAAATACATTATTTGAATGTGCTGCTAGCGAGCTGACAATAACAGTAATTGTCATTTAGTACGTTTCGGTGTCTTATTACCTCTTCGGGCCCATTTACGTCCAGAGTTATAACATTTCGGGTCTGTTTTTGTTTGTTTGAGGATTCCTACCTACCACTTCTTATTCTCCCGTTTAATTTAAGCATAAAATTTAGACATTAGACTGATGAAACATTCAAATTCAACAGTCATTGTT